CTTGTTTTACCGAACTGCCTCAGAGAGAAGGATATAGTTTCTTACAGACTAAGGAATTATACTTACCTCTTGGACACTGCTATAAACCTATAAAGGATCCTTTTAGCTGTGTCGTTGTTATAGTACTGCTGTTAAGAAGGCCACGGTACTGTAACAATACTAATGTATACTTAATTGAGCATGGTCCCTATACTGCTAATGCAGCCTTGGAGCCAAGCTTATTTGAACTGCGGTGTCATAAGCTTGTTGTAGTCATTGCACTATTTCAAGTCGCAGAGCCACTTAATAATGAGTGAGCAGAGATGGCCAATAGAGCCAGCCTTCACTAAGGTGAATGATAGCGAACAAAAGAATAACTAACTTTTATCTGAAAATGATTCTTAAATAGCCCTTAACCTGACTAAGCACACTTATCACACCTTTTACTTGCCATTTACATGTGCAATCATAATACTAGCTTACTATTTATATACATAATCCTAAACATTAAACAATAAACTACTCTTTACTACCAGTTATTTGCCATCTTAAGAAAACAATTACTATAACCAGTTAAGAAACACCTATTATAGATTTACCCACAATACTTGCATTTAACAAAAAACAAATGCTATAATGAACATGACCATAAAAGGTTACAACTAAAACAATACATGTGATTTACAAAGTCATCTGATCTCGCAATAATGAATGCTATGTCACTTCGTTGACAAGCTTATCAATAATACATATTAAATTAGAAATTTTCGTCTATATGAAACAAATATTTCTTGCAAAATTTTAGTATAACCCAAACTATTCCTAATGCTAGAACTAACCATGCTCTAATTTTAAACCAAGCTAATTTTTGTTTTATAATTAATCTTACACATTATGTATAAACTAATAAATTTCTTTCGTCTATATTTATTTTTAGATAAGTAATAGAACCATTGCATAATATGTAACAAATATGGGTTTTACCTTAAAACGACTTACAGTTGTACCAGACAGCCATAATACTCCTGAAACAATTCAACAAAAAAAAGAATATGTACAAAAGATATATAATGAAAATATTAACATTTATAGAAATATGGTCTATATTGACGAAACTGGCTTTAATTTACATCTTTCAAAATCAAGAGATCATATGCACCGTGGTCGGCCTGCTATTTGTAAAGTCGTAAGTAACAGAGGAAAAAATATCTCTGTTATTGCTACAATTAATGAGAAGGGGTTTTGCATTATAAATCTATTTTAGATTTAGTAAATTCGGAAATTTTTGCCATCTTTATTGATGAACTTCTTAGAATTATTCCAAATAGGAAATTTTTAGTAATGGATAATATTCATTTTCATAAATCAGATATAGTTAAAGAAATTGTCAAAGATACTACACACAAATTTTATATCTACTACCTTATTCCCCTTTTTTAAATCCGATTGAAAATTGTTTTTCAAAAATTAAAGATTCTGTAGCTAAAAATCGTTTAAGAGATCGAGAAACAATTTTAAGTAAAATGAACAATGCATTTAATATTGTTATGAATGAAGATTGTGAAGGATGGATAAGGTATACTTCTTCATACTTTCAATATTGTTTAAATAGTGAAATTATCAATGTCTAATTAAATGCAATATAATGAATTTTTTTAAAATAAAATTATTCAACATTAGTAAAATACTAAACTATAAATGTTATACATATAATATAAATAATATAATAATATTTATTGTAACAATTATGTGATATTATTGTCTGGAAAAAAGCAGAGGACTCTTAAATTCTATGCATAGTGATACAAAAGTTATGTTTTTGATGTACTTGATATTAAAATATTAAAAATGTAATTTTGAATTTTCTGTCTGTTCAATCACTTGATATGCACTATAAATAAAAATATCGCATAATTTATCTGATTTGGCACCGATTTTATCGTATGTATAATAATTAGCACAAATAATATTTCATAGGCAGAAGTTCGTCTGATGGCTAATAAATTCAATTGAATTTACATTATTTATACAGTTTAGAATACTTTTAAAAAAATGAAAACAATCATAACAAAGTAAAAAAAAAAGCTTATAGAAGGTTTCATTAGAGTTGTAGGACTTAATAGTCAAAAATAAGCTCTAATTCTTACCTGTTTAAAAACAAATTAGCTTAATAATAAGTTGATTTTATCGGGTTTTGAGAAGTTATTGCTATACCAACTTTTTAAATGAATGAGAATTAGATCTAATTTTTGGCTATGAAGACTTACAACTTTAATAAAATCTTCTATATGGCTTTTTTTTTATTTAATGATAATTAGTTTTTGTTTTTTAAAAAGTACTTCAAACTGTATAAATAATGTAAAACTAAATTGAATTTATTAGCCAATCAGACAAACTTCTGACTATGAGATAATATTAATTTTATTCTTTAGCTCTGGACTTACATCGGTTTCTGATTCCTAGTTTATTTATATGTATATCGATATGCTTATATGTAACTATATACCGGTATTAACAATCTAATTGCTAAAAAAATAATCCACAACATTGTATTATTTAAATCAATAAATCTAAGACTAATAAAGAATTGGTGCTAAAAAAAATATAATGCCAGATATTTTTATTAAGGCATTCATTTATTGTCAAAAATTTGAAGATAAGTGCTACTGATAGAACATATAATGCGAAATATTGTTATTATCATAGAACTTGAGTTAAAAAAGACGAATATAGAGCATTTATTTATTATCAAATCTGAAAATAGGTGCCACTAATGGAACATATAATACTAGATATTGTTATTATAAAATTGAACTTGAAAAAATGTGTGACACTGATGAAACTCATAATGCTAAGTATTATCAAGAATGATGAGTATAAACTTTTATTTATTATTTAAAATCTGCAAATAGGTAACACTGATGGGACATATAATGCTGATGAAAAATGAATGTTGCTAATGAATATATAGTATCAGTATTGTTATCATTGTGGAATTAAACTTGAAAAGGACAAATATAGGTTACTGGTAAGTTACTGTAGAAGTAATTCATGCTTTATTCCAAAAGTCTCTGTAATTCATATCTGTTAATTTCACTATAAATTACCTATTATTATAAAATTTTCTGATAATGTACAGACTTTCAAATGAGTATTTGTGGTAACTTATGGTAATTTATCATGGTAACTTACTACAGTAAGTTACTAATAACAACTCTGATTATGCTATTGAATGACTTTGCATAGAAAGTAATTTGATTGGCCAATGATCATGTATGAATGACAATAGAAAGAAAGTTTTC